GTAAGCAATTCATCCCCATTGCCTGAAAAGTAACTAACCCAATGCATCTAAAAACTAAGCCTTGTGAACCAGAAGTACGAAACAAGATAGAACCTACAACCAGAATAAGGAGTAAAACAAGCTTAAGCTAACCCAATGCATCCAACTATATAATAAAAAATCAGTGTTTCTCTATACAGAATCTAAGACAATGCATCCGGAAATATAATGAACAATCAATGTTACTCTAAACAGAATCTGAAACCTAAAATAAACAATACACAAATCCAATTTTTCATAGATTTTTCTATGTAGACTGTATATTCAGTCTAAATTAATGTAGACCTATAAGACAGTCTACAAATCCGTAGTCTGCAGTAAAAGTCTACAAATCGTAGTCTGCAGTAAAATTCTGGGAGCAACCTGCAACAAAAAGAGCCAGAGAAATCAATAAAACACAACATATGCTTGTACACTACAAACATGTATTAACTCATAACACTTCATCAATTTTCGTCAACAACATATGCATTTCAATTTACAGCAAATAAATTGAACATATACAAACCCTAGAACGAAAATTGAACACTTTTAATCAAAAAAATAAGAGATGCAGAGACTCTTTATAAACACATATAAAGAGAGAGAGAGAGAGACATGGAGGAGAGTAATGGTAATGACGAGGAGGAGATGAGGAGGAGACAAGGTGGAGATAGCTGAAGGATGGGAGAGGATAGTGGTGATGGTCGTGGTGGTGAATGTTGATTCCGAGAGGAAGGTGACTGGGTGTGAAAACGGAGTCGAAGAGGGTTCGCCGGAAATCTCACCGGAAATCGCCCCCTAAACCGCCTCAGATCTAAACGGCGTGATTAAGATTCTTTTTACCAGAAAACCCTATAAAAAGTATTTATATGCTGTGTATTTTTTTCGGTTAGGTTAAATTGGTTAATGTAGACTGAAATAAACGTCTACATATAAGTAGACTTTACTGTAAGTCTACTATACCCTAAACATTGGCGCCAATATGGAAAAATAGGCTCCAAAATTCATTTCCACTTCCCGCTTAGTTAATTTTAATTTTAAAATAATTTATTTTGGTAAACACAAATTAACGTAGACTGAAATAGACGTCTACATATAAGTAGACTTTACTGTAAATCTACTATACCCTAAATATTGGCGCCAATATGGAAAATAGGCTCCAAAATTCATTTTCACTTCCCGCTTAGTTAATTTTAATTTTAAAATAATTTATTTTGGTAAACACAAATTAACGTAGACTGAAATAGACGTCTACATATAAGTAGACTTAACTATAAGTCTACTATACCCTAAACCAGAAATCTCAAACCCTCAACCCCAAATCTCAAACCCTAAACGTTTGATTGATTATAAAACAAATCTTAGTCATTGTACCAAATATCATATATACAAAATATAAACTACTCAACATTAAATATGCAATTTTGAATCATTAAAACAAAATAATTCTAAATTTAGAATCTAACCCTAAGAATCTAACTCTAAAAGACATAACATGTTAGAACCTTTGGTTGCTAAACCATTAACATTGTATACCACATAGTTCCCAAATCAATATACATTCTTTTAAATTGTTCAATTATAAGAAAATTTAATTTATCTACCTCATACTAACCTTTAAATTGATGATTTATTAAAAAATATACCAAAAACATTTTTTCTACATTTTTAAAATAAATTATTTGATTAAATTAAGATGTAGACTAAATAATAAATCTACATTAGTTTACACAGTAGACGTTAATGTAAGTCTACCTAGTTGTAGACTTCTTTCTTAAAGTGTAGACCTACGAAGGACAGAATCGTAAAATATATTCCACGTTTTTTGTTTGTTCATAAGGGTTAAATAGTAATTTTAACACCCCTTTAGGTTGAGTTTGCAATTGATTGAATATGGGGGTACACCTTTAGGGTTAAAATGAATATTTGGGTTGGTTTTGGCAATTCCCCATTATCTCTTCATATGCTCTTATAATAATTGTATTTTAATATAGAAAAAAATTTAAACCTTGATCATAAAAACTTATGTAAGTCTTTTAACAATTTTAGTAATTTATACTTGTTTTGAAAAATTCGAAATACAACATACATAAAAATAATCTAGATTTTTATTAATAATTAATATAATTGTGTAATTTATTTTAATAATAAAGAAATAAACAAAATGATAAAAAGATTACAGATTGTTATCAAATCTTCATTGTTTAAAATTACTAATTGTCTATATATATTTTAATCATAATAGGTAATTACATAGATTTTTTTTTTTTAAACATGCAGAACAATAAATATTTAATATATAAGACCAACTATAGTCTCCGGAATATTATATCAATAATTAGTATAATTTTTAGATTATAGTTTATATAAAGTGCTATAGAATACTTCTAAACTGAATTAGAATGCATAAAAAATTTACCACATAACATAGAATTATTTTTTTAATTAATACAAACCTAACATCATATTTTTTCAAAATATATAGAGGATTTTGTCAAAAAAAATTATTTGTCTTTTGATAGATTTGCCATTAATAGTTTGCAATTTATTGGCATCCGAAGATAAATATAGAAGCTATCACTTATGAATTAATTAACTTTTTAAGAACATGAAAATCGGAAATAAATTAAAAGGGTGGATCATAAAGTTTTTAAAAAGATATGAATAAATGTTTTTCAAAATAAACATAAGCTAAGCCTCGCCGGACCTCTCCTCTCTCTCTCGAACAGTTTACAGAATATCTCTGGCGGCGTAACCGTAGCGAGATCTGCGAATATTATCCTGCCGTTTCTTATACACAAATCCTGCTAAACCAACCACACACACCGCCGCGATAGTCCCAAACGCCACCCCAGCCTTCGTCCCGCCGCTCATTCCACCGCCTCCCGATGATCTCTTCTCTTCGACTCCAGTAATGTCGCTGTGGTTCACGTCACTAGCTACGGGAGATGGAGACGGAGAGGAAGGAGTTGAATGATCATCCGGCATTGGAGGAGACGTCAATGGAGACTCTGACGGAGAATGAGATGGAGAGTGTTCAGGTTCCGGTGGAGAAGAGTAGTGAATCGGAGGTTCTGCCGGTGAAGGCGAATTAACAGACGGAGGAGAACCAAGTTCAGGAGTAGGTGCGTGGATTGGAGGTGAATCTACAGCGTCGGCGGCTAGATCTGGTGCCGGAGCAGGTGAGGATTTAGTCGAATGATCCCCGGACCCGGAGACGAGTACCAACATTAGCAAAGACACAATGATGATCCCGAGCTTCATTTTCGAATTTTCAACTGTCTTTCTCTCCAGATCTCGATAAGTTTAGCAGATACGAAACGAATAAGAAGAGATCTGGAGAAGATAATAAACTGGAAAGTTAGTTTTGGAGTGAGGATAGATGCATATATTACGCTCGCTAGATTTGCGGCTACGAAAAGCGTACGACTAGCAGGATTGTGCCACGTATATAGAGAGCTAACTATATTGCGCCACGTAGATGATGTAGTGTAACACAGAACGGAGCGAAACACTGGATGCCGCATAGTAGTTAGTTTTCCATTAAGATTCGAAGAAACGGTGTTGGGCACGTGGGTTTCACGTGCATAGCTGACTCTCACGTTATCTCGTAGGACTGGACAAAAAGATCCGAAGAACCGAACCCAATCCGAAAAAATAGTATCGAATCCGAACCAAAATTGAATCTATATCCGAATGGTTTCAAAATTTTGGTATTTAAGGAACCAAAACCGAACCTAATCCGAACTGAAGTATTTTGGGTACCCAATATATCCGAAATAGATTTATATTCCTATATATATTAATTATTTTAGTAATGTATATAATTCAATATATATAAAATACTTTAAAATTTTTCAAAATACTTGTAAATAGTCAAACATGCATATCTAAAATTTCTAAAGTAAACTCAAAACATCAAAAATACTTAAAAAATGATTGATTCACAATCCAAATATTCAAATCAAACTAATTTATATGTTAATTTTAGCTATTTTAACTTATGTTATTCAATTATTTGTAATATATTTTAACTTATATCAATTTTTAAATTTTTAAAAAGAATTTAAATGGGTTATCTGAACTCGAACCGAACCCGCAAAGATCCGAACCGAAATTTAGAAATATCCGAATGGACTAAAATTTGTGAATCTGAAACCGGAATAGATCTGAACCGAATCCGAATGGCTATCCGAACGCCCACCCCTATAATATCTTGGTTGAGTTTATATTATTAAACTAAGATTACTTCTTTTTTTTGATCTAAAACTAAGATTACTATTGAAAGAGTTTTAAGCTAGGAAAAATTGGCAAATTGGAGAAAATTTTAAGCTTGTAATTCGCTGGTTGGGGTATTCCAAATTTTTATGTGCTCGTTCGGCAACTGTCCATAAACTTAAGTGTAAATGTCCTTTTTAACCTTTGTTAGATACATTATTTACATTTTTGCCATTTCAATTTTAAAATGAAAAAAATAATTGAAATTACAATTTTCTTAAATCATTCAAATTTCATAAGATAAAAGGGATAAAAATTATATTGTAACACATAAATTTAATTCAATTATTCATAATCAATTCAAATTGACCATTTACAATCGACCTAGTTATGAGATGAAAAACACTGCCCAGAAAAACGCAAGAACAAATTGAGAAGAAGAGAGATAAAAATATTTCAGCCCCATTTGGATATTATAAAAATATCCCCAATCGGGGTCCCAATCGGGTTTCGGTTCGGGTTAATGGTTGACCCAATCGGGTTTCGGTTTCGGTTCGGGTTCATTCGGGTTTTGGGTTTTCGGGTTCATGAATTTCATCCCCGTTCGGATATTATAAAAATTCGGGTCGGATTCGGTTCGGGTTTAGTCGGGTTCGGTTCGGGTTTAGTTACATGTCCAAGATCCGGTTGAACCCGAAATAGTTTCGGTTTCGGATACTAATCGGGTTATCGGTTCTAAAAATAGTAATTTATACTCAATTAAACTCACTATATTTTCAATCATTTTATTAAATTTGTGTATTTAGCTTCTACAAACCATATTGTTCTCCTTCAAAATAATATTGTGAAACTCATCTATCAACCATATAAGATTTGTCATTGAACTATATGTGACAACACTAAACATATCATGATTAATGACAAACCAAAACCTTGTATGAACGNAATTTGTGTATTTAGCTTCTACAAACCATATTGTTCTCCTTCAAAATAATATTGTGAAACTCATCTATCAACCATATAAGATTTGTCATTGAACTATATGTGACAACACTAAACATATCATGATTAATGACAAACCAAAACCTTGTATGAACGAAATATAATACATAATGAAACATAAAAAATTAAAGTTAACAACTAAAAATTCTATAAAAATAAGAAGTACTATTTAAACTTTAAAAACAACATTATATAAACTTCAAAACAAATTTATTCGTAACTTAACTTCAAATGTAATGTCAATCATAAACATTAATATTAACCAAATAACACTATATATTAGACTAAATATTTGAGCTAATTATTTATATCATAACTAATTATTGTAGGTACTCAATAATATATTAATATGTTTTGGAAACATATTAGAAATTTAGATTGGATATGATACAAGTTTTTTTGGAATTTTAAAGTTTCGGATTCTTTCGGATATCCATTTAAGTTCGGGTTCGGTTCGGGTAACCCGAAATACCGTAAAACAAGATCCATTCGGTACTTATGTCGGATTCGAATCGGTTCGGGTTCCTTTTTATCGGGTCGGATTCGGTTCGGATTTTCGGGTTCGGTTTTTTTTGCCCAGCGATACTTTTGCTTATTGGATTTCAGAATACAGCACAACAAGCGAGGAAGAGGGAATGTCTCCAGACCCAGAGTTTATCGGAACATCGTCCCACACAGAGCTTATCGTGGCATCTCCTGTAAGCTCAAGTTTCTGAGCATGACGATTGGGGTGTTACACGGACATGAGACTGTGTTACACACAAGTGAGCTCAAGTGTGTTTGAGCGTAAAGGCTGAGGTGTCACACAACGTGGAGCGTGTGTTACACAAGGGGCGAAATACATGGAAGCCGTTTCAGAAGATAATGACCCAAGATTCTAGGATGTTTGTTAGGAAACAAATAAGGAGATATTGGGAAGATTCTTACTTATCACAATAGGATACGTTTGGGTATATATTGGTGATAGAGTTCATTTGGTTAGGTTACGGATTTTGGGATTTTCATTGTCATCGAGCTTTAGTGTTTCTAAGCTGCGATTCTGGTTAGCAATTGGTGAGGCTTGTCTCGACCTTTGTGCTTTGGGTAGATTAAGAATTGGTCCGTCTCTAGTCAAGCTGTGACGTAGAGTAAATCGGATTAAACAGATCTAGTGAGATTGTTTAAGTGATTCTTAATAAATCAAGTTAGTTTTTCTTGAAACTACTCGTGTTATTCTTTTGTGATATCCATACAAACTTTCATTTGGTCTCAGAGCGGGTCACCTCTGTGGACGTGTTTGTCTACTCACAGGTTGAGATCCTGCGACAATCATGGAGACTATGAAAAAACTAGTGGCTCTGCAAAAACCAATCATGCTTGATGAAGGAAACTTTGGACACTGGAAGGCGAGAATGCGGCACATTATTAGAGCTATTGACGAGGATGCTTGGACTGCTGTTGAACAGGGTTGGACTGCACCTACAATGGTGATGGAAGACAAATCAATAGCACCCATGCCTAAAGAAAGATGGACTGACTCTGATAAAGCTGCTTCAAAATTCAATTCAAAGGCGCTCACTACCATTTTCTCTACTGTCGTTCTAGATAAATTCAAGATTATTCAAGGGTGTGAATCTGCTAAAGAAGCTTGGGATACTCTAATCAATCACTTTGAAGGAAACACCAGTGTTAGAAGAACCAGAATCGATCACCTTGCCTCAAGATTCGAGAACCTGCGAATGGAGGATGATGAGTCAATTGGAAGTTTCATCTCCAAGATCAGCTCAATAGCAAATGAGGCTTCAGTTCTCGGCAAAAAGTATAATGAGAAGAACCTTGTTAAGAAAGTTTTGCGATGTCTTCCTCCTAGATTTGAAGCATACAAGGCGGTTCTGAAGATAGCAGTGAATACGGATGAGATGAAGTTTGATCAGTTAGCTGGAATTCTGAAGGTACATGATCTGGAACGAAGTGAAGAAACCACCAAGGGACATAAAGGAGTTGCATTCACAGCAGAATCCAAAGAAGAAGACAGAGTAAAGCGTATTGAGGAGAATATGAGTCTCATGGCTAAGAATTTCAACAAGATGATCAAAAGAGTAGAAAAGGGAAGCTATCGAAACAACAACCGGTTTCAAGGGAGAGAAGGAGATCGCTCATCTGGACAACAAAACAGAAGTGAAGGTGGAAGAAGTAATCGTAAAAAGGATCTGAAGTGTCATGAGTGTGAAGGGGTTGGGCACTTTCGAAGCGAATGTCCTCTAGCCAAGTGAAAGGAACTCAAATGCATCGAGTGCAAAGGATATGGTCACACCAGGAGTGAATCCCCTAACAATCTGAAGAAAGATAAAGCATTGTTATCATTCAGTGATACCGAGTCAGAAAGTGAGAGTGATGATGAAGAACTCATGCTGAATTTTGTGGCTCACGTGGAACACGACAATATTCAAGACATCCTTTCAAGCTCAGACTCAGATTCAGATTCAGATCATGAAGGCAAGAAGAAGGAGTTGAATCTAAAGACAGAGTTTAAGAACTTGTTTGACAAGTTTACAGAGTTAAGTCTTGAAAATTTACAGTTGATCAAAGACAAAGCAATGCTCAAGGAACAAGTCAACATTCTTGAACTCGACACTCCTAGTATTGAAGGAAAGAATACAGTTGGTACCTCAGAAAGTGAGAGAAATCCTGATATACAATTGCTTGAAAGAACCGTGACTGATCAGGCTCGTTCCTTGAAGAACTTGGAGACCAAGTATGATCAAGCCATGTTGCTGCTGAATGAGGAGCTTGAGAAGAGCCGGTTATTGCAAAGAGAATTGAGCGACAACTACAAGAAGATGAGGATGCTGAACAATGGATCAGATACCTTGGACCATATTCTTTCGCTTGGACAAAACCCAAAGATTGCCTCTGGTCTAGGCTATCAAGGATTTAAAAGTTCAGGTAGCAAAGATGTAAGGTTTGTTAGGAGTGGAGCACCAGAAACACGTACTGAGATAGAGAAAGGAGTGGTACATCAGAAAGATGTTGAGACAACTGTGAAGAAACCGGTACCACACAGGCGCAATGGATGTCACTTCTGTGGCAAACAAGGACATAGAGTTGCCTACTGCTACTTTCGAAGAGC